CTATCAGGAAATCAAAGAGCATTAAAGTATAGCCATGGGCATTCAAAAAATGCGAAGATTATCCCAAGTAATGCGTTATTTGAGAAAAGGTCACCTTCCTGTTTAAGTTTTTATATTCTTTTCTCTTATTCATAAGTGCTCTAGAATCTTTGCAATCCACTTAACGAAAAGGGTCTTTTCTAAATTGTAACTGAATTCAAAATAAAATTTTGGGGGGGCAATAATGTGCAAATTGCTGTAAAAATAAACTGAAATAAGTTCACGTTCAGCGACTGCTAGCGGATTTCGTTGCCAAGAGGGATTCTTTTGATCCCAAACAGGGCAAACTATTTGCACATTGTAGGTATGCCAAAGAAACTTCAGTTGTCTGCAAGAAAACGAACACTGTCTTAAAATTTCTTCTTTACAAAGGCTGATCATGCAAACCTTCTTTTCTTGAATAAACTGTTAAACACACTTGAACCAACACAAGCTTGTTTGTTTGAACATATATCAGATGTTCCTTTCAGAGCAGTTTCTTTAGAAAACGTGCGGCCGCGTTTCTTGCCTCGACTCGCCACTTACGTAAATATTTAGTTATGATATTCATTGTGAAATTCTAGGATTTTTTGATGCCTTTTTTACTGTATTTATATTGTATTTTTTACGTTTCTATTAGCATGTAGAAGGTTATTTACAGATTAAAAGTACAATAACTATCTTAACTTTCATTTACTTAGAAGTCAATTTTATATGTAGAGCGTGTTCTGTTAACTAGGACTTTTCATCAATAGCATTTCTAATTTTAATGCTTGTAATCCTCTTGAAAAATTATCATGAGCACGATATGAAGTGTGGTGCTGTTGTTGTTCAGATGAATGTTATCGAAATGATGTCTTCCATCACTGATATCATTAACAAAAAAATTATTATCATTAATGAAAGAAAATTCACATAATAAGGTCTTGTAACCAAATTATATATTCGTATAGATCTTCTTCATTCAACATTCGTTAAAATACTGTAAAAATTGTAGCCCTACACCCTGAGTTTCGATTTGTTCGGAAGACTCCCTTGTGTGGCACTGTGATGTTTATGCCCAGAAAAAACTTTTGTTCCATCTTTTTATGTCTCAAAGGGAATGGATTTATTTGAAAAAGATTGTATCGCGTGAAACCCTGATGAACTGAAATATTGCTATGAAATGCTGAAACCCAAAGATCATATTCTCCGAAAGCATCGTGATAATTCAACATGCATTGGAAAAAATACAAAAAACAAAAAGATTAAGTGTAAACTGCAAAAACATGAAAATACCACTTAATGAAAGAGCCAAAAGAACGAAAAAAAACAGAATGACCTGAAGGCTTTTTAAGCGGGACTATGGGTGATGGAAGTGTTCGTTTTCGACCATTAGGCAAATTCTTTGTCAATGAAATTCTCCCGAGGAAATTTGTACCAAGTGTAAGAACAATCCAGTCAGTTTCCGCCCAAAAATTTTGCACTCCCAAAGAGGTTCAACGTTTTTTTTTTATTTACTTTTCTCTTCTGATATTCCTTTCATTGAAGATTTACAGAAAATCATTATCACATAAAAAATAACTTATTTTGAGTTCTTTAGTTATTTACGAAGTGCTGGTTCAGGGCAAATACACCTGGTTTATGTGATTGTAGCTGAGAGAAATGGTGTTTCTATCGCATTCAGCCTTTCTAAACATGTCGTCTCATTCGGTCATGTTTCCTGTGACTTCTTCCCAACTGTACTAACAACGGTTATCCTGCGTTTTTGACATGTTATTGTTTGCAGTGTATGTTCTACAGGTTTATTGACCGTCTCTGTTGGCGAGTATTGTGGCCAAATAATGACTTTAATGAAAATGAACTTTTGATTAATATTCTTTGGAGCAGCAACAGTATAACACAGCGGCATTTTGAGTCAAACGCTTCTGCAAATGCTATTAATGAAGGTATTTTTGTAAATTAACTTTCCCCAAAAGTAGAAAACTGTTCCTCTACTACATACGAGTTTGAAATATGAATGTTCATTGTTGACCCAATATTATGAATAAATTTATCTCTGGGAATTATACATCCTTTCTTTGATTAAAAAAAATGTTTCCCTGGTACATGTGTCTGAACTAAGACCAAATCTATGTATCTATGTACTATCGACCAAAATAAACGTATTTCTGTTAAGGAGTATTTCTTCAGATGAGGAAATTGTTTCATATATATAAATGAATGTGAGGGTAGAGTCTACCTTGGCATAAAGTGCTCAATGCTGTGGTAGCAGAGCTGAGTATACACAAGTTTAAGAATTAAAGAGGACGCATCGATTCTCTGTGACTCTAAGTTTCGCGCATAAGCGCTCGTTAGACAGAACTTTCAGAAAATTCTGTCTGACGAGCGCTTATGCACGAAACTCAGAGTCACAGATAATCGATGTGTCCTCTTTAATTCTTTAACTTATGTATCATATATATATTGCTACTAATGTCCTTGTAACGTAATAATTACAATGTTCCCAAGTACTATCAATCAAATTATTTTTTGAATGTTCGTTTTTTCCAGGATGAATTAATTGGTTGTTAGCTACAAATGGCTAAATTTAACGTGAAGGTAGATCAAAATTAAAAACAATTTTGAAGACCAGTGATTTAAAATCCTACCTTGCATTTTCAATCCATTTTTTTAATTTTTAAACCGCTTCTGACACTTTTTTTCTTAACAAAAGCTTGGAGGTTAGTCGATAGACACAAGTAAATTCTTATCACTAAAATTACTTTCAGAACATGGAGAATTTAAATTAATAAGACTGAGTGATTTCTCAGTCGATAATAAGCACCCAAAAACTTGTGTGTGGAAGTAATGCCATCTGATCTTTTAGTTTTCTCTTCATTTTCGAATTTCCTTACAAGGTATTTGATGCTATAAAAAGCCTTGACAGTCTCTAAAACATCCTGTGAATTAACACGTAAAGAAAAAGGGAGAAGGTTGTGGGGGGGGGGGGGGGGGGGGGGGGGGGGG